CACTAGCATTTACTAGATATATGTTTTTTCTGGAATATAAATAGGACGCTCACAACGTGACAATAATGTGTGTTTAGATAGTGAGTAATTGAACTGCAGTCAGAAGTATTGTTGACGTTCGTTGATATAGCGTTTGTTTTAGCGCGATTGTTGAAAATAATTATATCGTAAAGTTATATTCAGAAAGAATAAACCAGTTTTATTAAGTAAAGCACTTGTGTCGCTAAAGTTTCGTCGGAACGAAGTTACGGAAAGTTAATTAACAAACGGAGACGTAACAATATCTTAATTGTGTGGCTTCAATGGATATAATTTTCAAAAACCTTGTCATTCATAAACTAAAAACTAAGTTTTAAGTTTACAGTGAACCATAGGCTTTGGGTAGAAGTAGAAAGGTTTTTTTTTAATGCTAAAGTAAATAATTATCAGAAGCCTTAATTATGAATGAGACGAGATTCTCTATCTCATAGTCGAACAATTCAGAAAAGAAATGTGTGACACCAGCTCAAATGTAAGGGGCAGAAGAATTTCTGGAAGACCAAGAAGTTGGTTTGGATTCAGTGTAAGTTAGAATTTCTATTTCTTAAAGATAACTATGTTTTGTTTCATAAATACCAGTAAAATTATCTGTAAAATGTTGCATCACTATATGAGTATATCAAGATGATTGACTTTAGAGCTACAATAGATAAATCCACTAAATAACAGGAGATTTGCTCAAGATATCACTTACAAGTAGTATTAAATCTCTTTCTAACTTAGTAATGAGACTGGAAACAAAATGAACAATTTTTATTGAACACCAAACACAAACACAATGTGTGTACTTGCTGTAACTTACATAGGATAACACCTTTTCTGGATCACAGGACTGACTGCTCAGATGAAATTCTAGACAATACTATTTACACTGTACTCTATATCAGACTGGCTGATTGCAATGTTCCTCAGTTTATCAGGAACCTTGTATTTACCCAAAGTGATTTGCACTACCTGCGTGACTAGTTATTCTTGTTACAACATAGGTAGGGCCGTAACCTCTAGATATAGCCTGAACAACTTGAAGGATACTGCAGTTGACATCCTTACACAATATATTTAATAGAGCAATACCTCCCCATGCAGTAACAGGTGTTATTCATTTTCAAGAACAACAAAGGAACAATGATCAATTTAACGATTTTCTCAAACATGTTGTGTTAAACTTGCACATATTCAGAATCAAAAAGAATTCAAAATAAATAACATGGAATTATATACAATAAGATAGAAATGCATGGTATTTTCAAATAAAATAGGTCTGGTAATAGATCATGGTATATTTCTACCTTCAGTGATTTTTATGATTTAGCTTAAGGATCATCCATTAAGCTAGGTGAGATATAATATGTAGATATGTTTCCATCAAATTTATCATATCTGTGGCCATTACCACATATTCAGAAAAAAAAACAATGAAAAAAAACAGTATTCTTAACAATTATGGAAAAAGCACACTTGTCAACATTCAATTAATTGCATAAAAGTTACTTTACATTTTTATTTGTGTTTTATTTCTTACCAAATAAAACAAGTAAATAATTTTTATGTCACTTTTGTTAAACTCAATTAAAAATTATGTAACATATTCAGTAAGTTAATAATAATTTAATCAATGAACTTTAATACTTGGATTTCAATGACAATTGTACATTTAATTAAAGATAATAGAGCTTAAATTTAGAGTAAGTTGTTCCAATTATGGATACAGCAATTCTGAGTTTTAATTAATGTAGGCTTAAAGGAGAACTTCAAATGAATTTTATGTTAATATAAAATCTAAGCAATTTCAGAACTCTTGCATTCTCTGGATAATGCTAAATTATCTCACTGATGTTCAAAATCTGACAAAACTACTGTTTAAAAGATATAAGTTAATAAGTTTAACTTTATCCACAACTTCATTAACAAAAGAATCATAAAAGATTACATAAAACTGATATATGAAGGATCTTGTAGTTTTTCTGTTCATTTGATCACTTATCTCTTCCAATTACTAGGAAATCCTATAATTTCTCAATAACAAAAAAAAAATATATGAAAAATAAAAAATATATATTTTTGCATTTTCAGCTAGAAAATACTCTCCTAAAATAATCAGTTCATTTTCATCTAAGTTTATTCATTGTGACATCTGCATTGGTGGGCACGTTCTTTCACCATCTTCTTAGTCACTGTTGCCATTGGAATCTCGATCTTCATTGAAGACTAAAAAATCCACTCCTCTGCAAAAATGCTTGTGTATGTAGAACTTAGTAAAAGAACACTGTATTTAAAAAAGGATAGATTAAACTAAATTTTACTAAAAATTAAGGTAAGCCATGCATGGTCAGCATGCACTGGGAGAACAATGAAATAATGACAGGACTTCACTAGCAAGTTTTGACTCTCTCATGTCAGAAAAAGGTGTTCGAATTTAAAAGTGTTAAAACGTGCATTTAAAACTCACCTTCTCTCTAATAGAAAATTAGTTACCCAGATTCAGAAGAGTCCCATATATGCAACATAAAATAGAACACAGTATAACTACCTCATGAAACAGTAGACAGTTTCCATGATTGAGCTAGGGCTGCATTTAGAACATCACCTCGACCAGATTTAGGGTGTTTCAAAGTAGAATTGTAGAACAATAGTAAGTATTTGATATAGGAGAGTAAGATATGTTGTATTTGCAAACCACAAATTTACGCTTGAGATGTGACAAATTAGGTAAAGCAGTAATTACACACAAGGTATAACAGATTCACTGAGAACTGTTAATGAGGTCTGATCAGTTTAGTTATAAATAACTGCATATGACATATCATAATCAATTCAGTGATATTAGTAATACAGAAAGAGTGATTGATTCAGTGATAGCATTAATTTAACTACACATAAGTTATTGTCAATGACATTCGTACACTCATAGATGAAAAGCAAAAATCTGACTTAAACTTGTTACACAATTTGTAAAAAAATCAACGAAAGAAGAAAGAACCATGGAGGAGCATATACATTGCAGTTTGATAATAATAGTAAAACATTTTAAGTATGACTTTTCTTAAAATTTGTAGAACATGGTGGACAGAGGTGATGATGAAGATTATGCCTTGCCAGCAACACCTACCACAGAAACATTCCAGTTTGTTCCAAGACAATATAACTCACACTCACCAAGTAAACGTTGGAGATCAAGTAAGTGTATAAATAAATTTTTGCATGCTCCATTTGTTACTTTATGTAACTTAACAGGAGAAACTTAGATTGTAGTTAAGTGGTATAATTGAATGTCTTTTTAAGTTGATGGTACTTTTTTACACATAGGTTCTTATCCAACTTCTTGGGGAAGTAGAATATGTTAAAAGGATTTATGTCAACAGGTTTGGGAAGGGGATTCAGCTTATAAATGTTACATGAGATGCATATTTTGCTTGGGATATACTGAGAAAATATTGTTACGTCTCTGGTCATTTGTTAATTTTCTGTAGAAGTTCTTTCCCAGAAACTTCAGTGATACAAGTCTTTTCTTAAATAAAACTAGTTTATTCTTTCTCAATTCAACTTTGCAATACACTTAATTTCCACAGTCACTTTAACTTAAACACACGCTATAATTCACAACGAATGATTCATGCACTTTATTACTACCGCACTTGACTCAATTGTCCGTGTATATCTCTTCAATCTGCAATTATTCATCTCTATGCCGTCACTTCTCACCGCTTTTATATATACGAAATAGAGGGCGTCTGGAGAACACTCGAGGCTTCACGAATGGACATGATCTTTTTAGAATCTCATGACGTGTTACTAGCATCACGTGACTTCCACTGTCATAACAATATCTCTGTATATGATACCTATAGATATCATGTGAATGACCATTAAATGATACTGCTGTTGATGACCTTGTACAATATGAGTATTGCAGCAATACTCCCTTCCCCCTTTGAGCAGAGCAGATATTATCCACTCAAGAACAAAAGCAACTAGATTGAAATCATCTTAATGGCAGTTATGTGAAACCTGCACGTATGCAGAACAAAGGATAAATTCAGAAAAAGTACTGTAATACTACAAGTTAGAAATGCATAATATATTCTTATATCACACTAGCATCAAAAGTGTGGGAGAAGAGTTCTCACAAACACATGAATGAATTAAAGATATTAAAAAATATCAAAACAAGTTTGTAAAAAATATTTACAGTTTCACCTGTGTTGTAATTAGAATGACTAGTCATGTGGGTATCATTAGTTTTTCTGGGTAGCTGTGAAGTTTCTCACAAATTAAGAAATGATGTATTTAGACAGTCTGTAACGTAGATTCAACTTCAACAATTGAATACAGAATTCTGGTAAAAATGATTATCCCACGTAAGTAACAGGGTTTTATTTTGAAACCAACTGTTCATTTTGTATTCCACTTTGTGTCCATTTCATTATTCTCTTTAATGTCATGACTCAGTTAGTATGAGATTTAGTATTACTTTGTGATTGATATCTTGATTGTATCTATAGTTGTTAAGTGGATCTATCAAAAGTTCAAAGATTGAGTCAGTTTTATCTGGATATATAATATTAGCAAAACAAAATTTGGCAGGAGACTATGGGTGGCCAGGGGGCCCCTTGTCTGTATGGCATAACTCCCCTACTCTTATTTACTTATGATACCAAGTGGGCTAAAATGTATCAAGAAGAACTCACAGTCTTGAATTGGGTCTAGGAGTACATTTGCAGGGTTGCCGAGTTCAACTCTGGCATTGAATTATATGTCATTTGTCTTTAAGCTCAGGTTCTTAGGATGCCATTTTTGAAACCTTATTCATACCCCTATTCACAAGCTAGCATAACCAAACTTGGCACACTTGCTTAGGTATCATGGTCAGGTGTCCTAACAGGGTTGTTTTTACATGTAAAGACACCCCCTTGGGGTGGCTATTGAATTAATTGGGTAATGGAGGAGCTTGATCAGTATACAAGAGCCTCTGTGAACCTCATACCAGAATGTGGGCTTTTTTTCTAGTTATTAGAATTTAATAAAAAAGGGCTTAAGTTTGTAGTTGCCTTCAGTGCTGACACCAGTGAGATAATCATCTATGTGCCACCCGTAAGTGGAATTTTTGCTATTTAAAACTCAGTACTTCCTCGGGGTGGTAGGCCAGCAGTGTACTCACGCCACCTCCCACTGGTGGGTCTGCTTTGCTTTCCAGATGGACGTGCTTTCTTCACTTCACCTGTACTCTACATACTCTTCTAAACATACTTTGATCATATCCTTGATTAGCCTAATTCAGCTGCACTTCTGCACAGTCCTCTCACTGCACTGCTTTTGAATCCCAAATCTCACAGCCACTCATGAAGCAGATAGAATGCTCTTTTCCATCCTCTATCCTCAGAAATAGATCTCAGTTCAACATATTTGGCAAACTTTCATTCATGAGGTTCCTGGATATAAATTTATTTACTTTTTTAATTATTAATAATGGGTATCTATTTTGCTTATTAATTCCTTGATGCCAACGTGACTGTGATGATACTGTTTGATAATGTAGAATACATGCAGTAAACATTAGTATACTTGTAGCAAGAAACATGGATTTATCTTTTACCAGTTCTTATGTCATACTGTTATACCTATTAATATTTATATTCCAAAAGTTGCCTTTTTATTTTAATACATGTATTTACCTCTTGTTAATGGTTGTATTTACAACACCTGTTGATAGCTATAGATACATCACTTGTTAATATTGGTATTTTTTTTCAAAAGTTAATTGGTTTATAAAACTATGAGCAGTTGCACTTTATTACATAAAAATATTCAAGACTAGTAACTTTTCAAAGACCGAATTTGTATTTTTATGTGTACATAACCTAACCTTTAAATGTGAAAAAAAAAGAGACATGTTTTACTTATTTTGATGAATATGATCCCTTAGAAATGTATACTTTTACCTTGTACTATACCAGGAATTGACAGGGAGTGCCAAATTATAATTTTGTCATTTCATGTTAGAGCTTAGATATGCCAGCAAACAACATTGAAACTACGTCTTGTAGAGTTAATGTTTGGGCTCTCTAATTACTTTGGGAAAGGCATTGAATTGTTAGAAAGGGTTCAGAGGAGGGCTATTAGGATGATACTTGGGATGGAAAGGTGGTCATACAAGGATAGGTTAAGATCACTGAAACTGTTCTTGAAAAAAAAGAAGAGTTAGAGGGGATCTGATTGAGGTGTTTAAGATTGTCATGGGAATTTATAGTGTTGATGCGTCATCTTTTTTCAGGGTTAATGGTAGGAATGATAGGTATAGAGGAAACAAATATAAATTTTGACAAGGTAGGAGTCATATTCAGGTAAGACATATTTTATTTTCAAACAGGGTAATTGGTCTTTGGAATGGGCTGCTTTCAGATTTTATGGAACCAGTAAAGTTAAGGGAGTTTAAGGGAAGGCTTGATGAATATTTGAATGATAAGGACTGACTTTGAGGGTTTTTTTAGTGGTTTAGTTCAGTGGGGGAGACAGACTGGATGGACCAACAAGATCTTTGCTGTCTTTAAGTGTTATGTTATATTGATTTTAATTACAAAGTGCTATTTTCCAGAAAAAAATATACAGTATTTATTGCATTTAAAACAAGGTTTGGAATTATCATCACTGGAAAAAGAAAGTTACAGCTGCAGTTGCTCACCACCAAGGAAGCATGCTTTATTAACCCTTGGAGAGGTAATTCACATTCGAAAAGTACTGACCAAGATAGACCTGGATTGCTTATTAGTGAACCAACCCTTGTATAAGGAAGTAGCAGAAGGCAAGGTGAAGATATAGTTAATATATAATTTTTAATATTTTAAAAATTGATAAAAACTTCAAAAATCAGTGTAAACTATGAAACACAACTTTTGCTGTATAAGTAAGAGAAAAAATAAGGAAAATTTTGAAGAATGTTAAATCATAAATCAGTTACTGTGAAAATTAATATTCCTATGGCAAAGTCTAAGATAGATCTGTTAGAATCAAGACTAATTTATGTTTCTTTACTAAAATACTCATGTTAATGTGTAATCTCTATTAATCTGATACCTAACAGGTAATCTTTGCAGATTGGGTATATTTCATAACTTGTTTCAACACCTATTTGTTTCGAGTGATAAGTTAACAATTTTGCTCATTCTCATAAGATTTTATTTCAGATATGCTTTATGTGCAGAAGAACAAAATTTTCCATTTTGCGCTTACGAAAAGCAAAGTGTAGACTATGTCAACGAGTAGTGTGTCGTAAGTGCTGCTGTAAGGTAAGTATAAAGTTTGTTTTTTAAATCTTGTACTAAAGTTTAATATCTTTCAGTTGAATAATAGAAACTACAGTTTAGCTCTTTAACATCAGTTGTTGAACTCTTTCACATTTAAGAAAAAAAAAAATTAAGGCCACTTTAATTAAGCAACTATTTCTCTTAATTGTTACCTTATAAACTGTAGGTAGGAAAGAACTTTTAAAAAGATATTTATAAAAGAGTTTATTCTTAAACTCATAGAAGTTAACAATTCTCGTAAATTGAGATACATCTAGTTATTTTGTTTCAGTGAATTTTGAATAGGGGTGTCCTCTTCTTTACTATAAAATACTTTTAATGTACCCATTCAACACATGGGGGGAGGGGGAATGTATTTTAAAATCACTTTGTCTTTTTTGCTTTGTTTGTTTAGGAGTTTCATTGCTTTCCCCCTGCTTCAGTTATCCTAATTTTTTCTAAGCTTTCTTGATTTTGTTGTGTCATCCATTTACTTTTTCTTTCTTTTGCTCAGAGACATTTTCTTTTTGCACTGTTTCTGAACTTTTTTTTTAATTCCAGAATTTTAGTTTAGAAGTTATTTCCTAGATGGTGTTAGAAGTTTTCAATTGAAATGAATAGCTGAGGAGGCTTGATGCTGTAGACATGCCATGTTTGAATTCAAATGTTAACCAATATCTCAAATACCTGATTTAATCTATAATGGTATTGAAAGAGCTTGCTATAAATATAATTGTTTATCTTTTAAAATTAGCATAAAATCCCGACTCCACTAGGATTTGAACACAAGACTTGTACTTGAGAATGAAGCACTTTTTTTTCTTTATTAACCCTTACTCATAGAGGGGGGAAAGAACATACAAACATTACATAAAAACATTCAAATACAATACATAGGATGACTACCAACTCAAAAACAGAATAATTACTAAAACAGTGGCATTAAGACCAAGAATAATGAATATAACTAAAACATTACAATTAAAATACAAACTACAAAATCAATCATCAGACAAGTAAATTCAAAACAAAGAAATTAAAAAAGAATATATAAATAGAAAAGGTACAAAAGATGAAGAAACAAAATTCTACAAGAGAAAATACTAGATATATGTAAACAAATACAAGCAAAAATCAAAATATAAGAAACGTAATAGTAGTCAACAATCTACATAACAGGTAAAAAACAAACAAACAAAAAACAATTCATCTGAACAAGAAACCCATCAGAACAACCTCACAAAACAGGTAAGTATACACTGCAGGAAATACCATCTCAATACCATCAAAAAACACACACAAGACAAAATCCAACAAACCCTAACAATGCAACCAAAACTGAACAGAAATGAGGACCTACAAAACACCACTTCTCAAGAAAAACTTGGTACAAAACCATAGCCTTGAGAACCATGCTCTACTAACTCACCAACTGTAGCATACAAAAAATAAAAATTATCCAAGTTATGTTTTTGGGAAAACCTATAAAAATAAAAAAATACCTCCTGTTTTAACCATACCTTAAAATGACATAACAAATGAATAAATTGACTTTTTGCCAAAAACACCCTTTCTGCAGTAAAAAGAGACAACTTAGCTAGCCAACGATCCACTTAGCCACTTTGACATTCAGTGTTGAAATCTATTGTTAACAAATAGTAATTAAAAATATCATGGTAGTTATGTTTTTTGGAATTTTGAAGGAGCTTGTTCTAAACATGATCACTTACTTAAAAAAATAATATATAAAAAATACCAAGCGTAATGGTATTTGAACAAAAGACTTCTGCTTCGGGTTCAGGCGCTCTAACCACTGACACAATTTGAGCATTACCAACAGACAGTAACTTCAAGGAGTTTGTTCAACCTTTTTCAACTCTAGCATATTGCAGTCGAGGCCAAGAGATATATAACATATCGTAATGTGGCAACTAGATGATTTGCTAAACAGCACTTTAGCAGAAATTTTTACCAGTTTTAACTCTCATCTACAAAATGGAGATCTAATGTATATTCAGCTAAGATAGTTTTATTTTTTTAACAGAGTAGTTGGCCTTTTGAGTGAATTGTCTTTAGATGTGGTGGAAGCAGTAAATCCCAATGCTGGTTTTTCAGAATTTCAAGCTTCTCACAAGAGGTAGTAATATTTGTGAGGTCTATAAGAGACAACATAATTATGCACAGCATCTCATTAGCTGAAGGTTACCTTAAATATGAATATATATGCAATTGGTTTCTCCTATTGTAAGAAACTTACAAGTCTGAAAAACTAGCACTATGGTATGCTTTGACTCCTATTTTGCAGACAAGAGTTGACTTACTGGATCAATATGCAGAACAGTTTTCATCAGACAACACTCCTCCCATAGCTTTAAATTACCATTTTATATATTCTTACTATACTATCAAGATAATGTTTTGTCATAACCTTCTATTTCTACAAAATAATAATTTAATTCTGTTCAGCATTGGTAGCTAAGTTTCTAAAAGACAACCATGTAGCAAAACTTTATTGAATACAATGTACTGTTTTAATTACTGTATCAAGAGAATAATTAAGTGGATAACTATGAAGTACGTTTTTGCTAATCATATAGATTTATTTTAACTGGATGACACTATACTTTCCTTTACCTTTCAGTTAGTTATATAATACTGTTTTACCCACCTGCTATTTCATTAGTGTAGTTTTTCACACAAAGAAATGTTTCATATAAAATTCTACAAATATTCGCTCTTTTTAAACACAATATTTATTGTTTTCTTACATTAGTTGCAGTTTCCAGAAGGAGATTTGGCCAAAATGCAAATTTGCAAACTCTGGCTTAATTTTACACCTCTCAGCAATCAAAGATCAAGGTGGGCATCATCTGAGTCACTGTCACATGACATGCCAAACTGGGAATCTTCTCAAATGAAACTGACTACGTAAGTTTTCTTCTTGGGTAGGATTTAATTTACACATTTGTGAAAATGTACATATATTTTATGAGTGGTTTTGTTTATTAGTTATATGAAAGTTATGTAAAGATGTGTACTTTAGTATTAAAAATTTATGATAGCATATGAAGTGTTTATATAAATATGTAAAATTGTTACACAAAATGTATAACTATCACCATCATGGTAAGTAGCCTACACAATCACATGAGTCTGATTATCCATTGATTACAAATTCGTTCATTAGCAGAAACTAATTAGTAACTAATTTTTTCCTGTGTCTCAGCTGATAATCTTCTATTGCCTTCAAGGAAGTCCTAAGAAGGACGGAATAGCTATGGTAATAGGGACTGGAGTTTGATCCTGGATCTTCTTGTTAAAAAAGCTGGTGTGCTATTTCAACTTGAATCAATTAAGTATTTCAATGATTTAAGGAGGAGTATCCAGGTTTTGCTAGGTGAACTGAATGTTCTAGCATTTAGGTGGATTTAGAACATCTCCTTTATAATTTTTTTCTTGTGTGTGGTTCATATCTCATTATTTTCATATTATTCCACCTTATTATATCTTCTTCTCTGGCGTAGTAAGCTGTTGCAGATAGTAAATATTACAGTCTTGCATGTTTATTATTCTCCTGAATTCTAAATTTTGTTGGACTTTTTGTTTCTTCAGTGTTTTGGAGGCCACATTGGCAAGGGATGTTATAAAATATATTTTTGCTCTCCTTTTGGTCTTTAGGTAGCTTAGTGTATAGTATTTGTAATCATACTGTATTGTGGCTTCAGAATACTGTTCTAATTATATGATGCTTCATTATTCCCTGTATGTTTTTGGAGAAAACTTTGACACAGAGGATTATGGTTGAATGTTTGTAATTTTCTTCTTGCTTATTTTTGGTATTTATTTTCTTTATTAAATGTTTAGGTTATACATTTTGAAGAAGGGATGAAGTGATGTTTTCATGTTCTTCCTCCTACTGAGTCTCTGCTGTATTACAAGTCTTGTTTATTCTGGAGACTTGGCAGTCTATGATACCTGTCTTTATACTGTTAGGGTGATTTGGTGTATATTTGATATGATTACCAGTACTTGTGGGTTTCTTATATACTCATGTGATATACAAACTATGTATCTTTGTAACTATTACATCTGTGAATGGGAATTTATCTTATTTCTGTTTCTGATGTGAATTATACTGCCAGTTGTTGTATGTTCATGTGGTTCATGAATTCTGATATCTTGTTTGTAATGTATTGTCAACATATCTGAGCAAAATTCTATGTCTTAGAGTATTTGAGTGTGTTATATCTTCAAACTGTTCCATGTTGGTTGAGGTTACTGAATACTGGTGATAGGAGTGAGCCTATGGCTAAGCCTTCTGGTTGTCATTGGTAGTATTTATCTTTGTATTTGAAGTAAGTTGTGTTGATAAGAAAGTTATGTGTTCTGTTATCAGGTATATTGTCTTGAGAATTATATCATTTTTAAGCTGTTGGGTGAGTGTTTATAGAGTTTCAAGGGTTAATGTGTTAGTGAATAGACTGGATATGTTGAATCTCATAATTGAGTCTTATGAGGTTATTGCTGTTGATTTTATAATCTCTACAGAGTGGATTTAATTCTTGATATGAATGATGTACCAGTTAATGGAGATATTATATCTAAAAGTTACATAGCTAGAGGGTGGCATGGTGAGTCTTTGCAGTAACTATAGAATTGAGAGGGTAGCCTTGTTTATGAATTTTAGGTAGGTTACAGTTGTATGGGGTGGTGCTGTAGTGTACTGTTGTTTGATTGTTTCTGATCCAAGTTCTTTTTCATGTTTCTTGAGAAGTTGATTACTCTTTTTCTCTGTGTTAGTGGTTGGGGTTATATTTCATCTTCGTGTAGTGACCATCTTCAACTAGAGTTTGGAGCTTAATGATGTATTCTTCTTTGTTTATGTTTGTAGTGGCATTACCTTTGTCTGCTAGTAGAATTGTTATGTTGCTGGCTTTCTTTAAGTTTATGCAAGATTTTTATTTTATGTGGTATTATAATGTATATATAATTTAGAGCATTAGCATATGAAAGATTTAGGTAAAGATGTAACAAGGGGCATTTCATGTTGCTATCAGAGGTTCAACCACAATAAAAAAGAGTAGTATTAAAGCTTATGGGAAGGCTACTCTGGCATTCTCAGTTAATGCTGTCTCTTAGAAGCAGTTACCAGTCTTTTATATTTTGGGATGTAGTCAGGTGCTTCTGCACTAGTCAGCATAATCCTAATGATGAACTTCAGAATATCATCCATGGTACTTCTCTTAAGCAAGCTTGGTTCATCTTTACTATTTTTTCATGCCATTTCTACTGTTATACAACACAGTGGTTATTTCTTTAGCTACTGTCATACATGCTCATAGCCATCCACCACTGTTTAATGTAACCACATATGGCACTCTTGTGGGCACGTGTTAACAGCTGTACTGAGTTGAAAAACTTCTTTTGTCATTATCAAGTTGGAATACATATAAAATGTTGCTCAGTTGCTTGAAATGTTATCATGTTGTGTGGGAGGTGGTCATCCTAGGCAGGTTGTTCCCAGTTGATGAATTTGCCAACATGTTATTCATATTTGTATGATTTTTCTGATCAACTTGTTGGACCATGGATAATTCAATAACATTATAGTCTTTAGCAATTCATACACCCAGCCCATTTCTATTTGCAAAAACCCATACATTTGACTCCATGATTCATATGACTCTCTCATAGTACCCCAAATTAAGTAGCAAATGTTTTTGTTAGTAAATTAGCAACTATCTTAACATCAGTATTGAAACATTTTTTATTTTACTCACTTTATACTATAGTTCTCAGAAACCAGCAAATGTTGGTCAATTTACTCTGGTTTGGTCAGTGATGATTCATTATAATCCAGGATAGTTTGCTGCAGAATTGAACCACCATGTAATTATTTCAGTTTATTTCAAATGAAACTGTTCCTTCTGGTAGCACAAACTGAACCACTTTTATTTTGTGCCAGCTTGTAACATCAGTGATTTTGGCAAATAGAATCTGGTTTTTCAACCTGTCTTAATTATAATTGGTGTTATGAAGTATCTTCAGATTCTTCAGCTCAGTTATCAGTGTATTGGTATTATCTCTTGTTTTTCTATACTTCATCTAAAGATATGGAGATCAGTGATGCTGAAAGGGCCATGCTTCACTCTACTACTTCAAATGTAGGATCTCTTAATATGAGATTCAACTAACCTGGCTTCCTGTGGTTTCTTTGTAGTTCTGCTGGTACTTCAGTGATAGTTCTAGTAATCTGTTCTATCTACAGTTTACTTCTGTGCAGCATTATGAGCTAGGTTTGGACTCTGGGAGAAAGCACAGGCCTTTATCAACAGAGTTGAAACATTTTATAATTTCGTGTTATTTGCCTGGTTAGTCTTTTATGACATAGTCCTTCTCATGAAGTGTGTTGATCCAATGGAGTTTTAATAGTCATTAGAGTGATGCATAGTTGGTTTGCCAGAGAAACTTTTAGTTATACTTTTAATGTGAAAAACATTTGACAAAGATTATCGCAGCAAGCAGCTCTTTCATGGTAGTACAGTAATCATGTTGTAAAACAATGAGAAAGTTGCTGGTCTATTATACCACCCTCATCATATCACTCTGAAGTAATAACACTTTTTCTCTTCTGGTGCCAGTATCATTCATGTCAAGTATAAACTATAGTTTGATTTCAACATTTAACCATTTGTATTATAGAATGGAATAGGTTGTTTCAGTTGACTTCTCATTCTAGTTGACTGCCACAGTGATAGAGTTGCAAACTAGCTTATCCTTGTCTTTTGAGGACCAAGTTGTCTAGAATTAGTCTTTCTAGGTAATGGCTATATTTCGAAGCTGAATGATATTATTTCGAACTTCTAGAGTCAGCAGACACTATTAAAGGCAGTTTTTTTGTTAACTCTTTTCACCTTATTCAATCTTCCTATTCTCTTAAAAGATACATCTCATTTCGCTCTGAAGAAATGGCTCTCAATCTTTTCACTATGTACGCCTTAATGATCCAAAGACAATCTTGTGGACCCTCCATGGTCTATTTGTAAAAGCTGGTTCCACAGTATATATATAATTTGCACTGACATATATAAGTATGTATGTTTATGAAATTTTTAAATAAAACATTATTTTAATTTAGTCTAACATAGCACTATTTCTTTTATTTTTTTAAATAATATGGGAAATTGATCTTTACCATAATGGACCCCTATGGCTCAGTTGTAAATTTAAGGGCTTATAATGCTAAAAATTATGTTTTTATACCCACTGTGAGCACAGCACAGATAACCTATTGTGTAACTTTGTACATAACAACAAACAAATAAAAAATAAGTTGTTCTTGTTCTAATTAAAATATCCAAGCTTCTGTTCTGCTGAATTCCAAGGAGAACTTACAGTTATATCATTTCATCTCATGTCACTCAGGGAAACCTTTGGAATGGTTGTTTAATAGAGCATGTGCTACCTGTCAACATGATGGTTTATTAATGGCCCTCATAACAGTGTTGACATAACACAAAATGAGCTTGGGGAACTTTTCCTACTTCTTTCATACATGTTTTTTTTACATTCTTCAACAAGATATTACAATTTTTCAGGAAGACTGGCTGTAGTGTTTTTTGATTAACTACTATCCTGGCCTTCATCTGGTCACTAGGAAGAGTGGAAAAAACAGAGATCAGCAGCCTTTCATAGTCATCAAAAGTTTTAAAAGCCATATGAATTTTGAAATTTAAATAAAAGTAAGGCTGAAACACTATTGAATAACAAAGGCATAAGAGTAAATCAAAATAAAGAGTAACAGTATTCCTAATAATTAAAACCAATAACAGTTGGGATTACCATAAGGAGGGGGATCACAGTATAGGAGCCTTATTTACTAACTGATTACAAAAAGGTTGTGTAATTTGTGTTTCACTTAGATATAGGTTATTACATATGAAAGGACTATACATTGATATTCATTCTTATATACATTTACAACTATATAGTATTGGCATATATGTATGTTTTGGATAAGATTTATATACTTTTATATAAAGGGGCCATACTATTACAATTAGATATACTTTTAGGTATTATCACACAGAATTATTATTTAAAAATGTGCTTACAGGACTCCTAGTGAACATTTAAAACCTGTTTTTTTAGAAGCTTAACCTTTAAAATCTGTATAATTGTTAAATGAGCCTGTAATAGCTCATAACAATGTATTTTAATGCTTCAGACAGTAAAAAATACATATTTATGGATATAAAATATTTGCTTTTCATATAAAGTGTAAAATTCAGTTTTTAGTTGTATCTGTGCACTCTGAAACAGACACTCATTGTTGCTAATGACTTTTGAATGTTCTCGGTTATAAGTTATGAAAGATTACCTTCAACTGTTAGGTAGAAACTGGGAAACAACTGTTTGAAATATATACTCATAAAGAACTTAATGTATTATAATATAGTATCTCTGCAACAGAGATTTTGGTCTAAGCCTGTATTTTATTCACTTTCCTCCTGTAATTTGTCAAATTTAGCTTTTATTTTAAAGGCTGTCAAGAGCAGATACAACTTGAAGGCCTGTGAATTAGTGATAGGATATATGTGAATCCCATCAATTTTTTAAACACATTTTTCTAAACTATTTATGCACCAACTTCATTGTTGTCCATGACTTTGGTAGTTACAGACTTGCTAAAAACATACAAGTCAAGCAAAATAATATAAATATCAACAATATTGCCCCAGTACTTTCTACCTGCTGGGATACCCTATGTATTTAAATTAGAAAATGAGTGATATTACCTAATTTTTGTGGTAAATTCTTTATTAGGGTCAATATGTTGTATGATATTTGCTGTTACAACACTCAATCCAATAGTGAATGGTATAAAAACAAGCCTGTAATTTGAGACTTAAGATATTGAAAATTATTATTCAAAACATTTTTAGAAGATTAATTATTTTCTATTATTTTTCAGGTGTTTTGAAACTAATAAACAGAGTGCAATATTGCCTGCAAACTCTCCTTCCATTTGTGCTCATATAACAGGTGATGTATCATCAGAAACATCCATTTTAGGAAGTAATCTTCAACCAATATCTCAGCAAGCTGCTAATTCCACTTCATCCCTTTCATTAGAATCTTCCTTTCTTAATACAGTAACCATATCTAAAAGATCTAAATCTGCTTTGACATTAACAGACGAAGCGATTTTCCAAGGGTCATTTATGGAAACATCTCAGAAAGTAGCTGTGCCAGAGTTTGCAACAGTAACAAACAGTGAAAAGGAAACAGTTTCCCCAAGTTTTATCATGACAGAAGTACATAGAACTTCTGGATCAACTAATACCTTAGAAAAAATTTGTGAAACACCAATAAAAAATAAACATTTTTCTGAAGAGTTAATCACAACAGCAGTAACATCAGAAAATTTATGTGATGTTGCAATAGCAGATATGTCTTCAAGAAACCCAAATGATTTTGTTATGGCAAACTCTAGTGAAACACATCCAAGGAAAGCTACTCCTGTAATTCTTCGTGAAAAGCTACCAGGTAACATCTCAAATGACAAGAATAGTTGCAACTCAAAAAAAGTAAAATTCAGACGATCTTGGACATTTGGATCTAAAGCACTGATGGATGATTACAGAACTCGATATGAAGTTGTTTGTGATGCCTGCAAAACATTTTGTGCTGTCATGTTAGCTGGAGAAAGTCGTGCTGCTGTTTGTCAGAAGAATGTAGAAGACTTTAAACCAAAGTATTCATAGTACAATAATTGTGTGAACTAGAAGAAATGTTTAAATAAGATTTTAAAAAATGGGGTGTCAAAGTAACTATTAGCTAAAATACCAAGATTAGTAAGTCTACTAGTTTTAGGACTACAGTCACTGTTGGTACAATTGTATACCTTTTTTTTTCTAAAGTCAAAGATCTTTGTGTCTTATATGTGTTATTCTTGTAGACAATGCACACCATAATATTTAGACATATTTGTAAATTTTATATTTCATGTATAGTCCAATTGCATTGTTGGTCTAGATGTCTGTAGATGTTTGAAAAATTACTAGCACTACATAAGCTTTAGATAATCCTTCATTCTTTGCTCTAAATGAGATGTGGTTGATCCCACATCAAGAACAAACATATTGATAAACAACATTAGAGCATTGAAGTTTATTGATTCTGTCCTTTACCTTGAAAAGTTTTGTATTCTCAATGCTCCCTCTTTAGTGATTCAGTGTTAAGTCTCAAGGCATATAACACTAAAAACTGGGTTTCTAAACCCATGGTGAGCACAGCACAGATAGCCCATTGAATAGCTTTGCACTTAACAACAAACAAACAAATCTATTTTCAACATTAATTTTAAAGTTGCATGTACTGAATTTTGTAGATAGTTTGATATCAAGATATTTTCCATTTTATTCCTTGAAACATTACTGTCTTTACCCAGGAGGCTGACATAGAATGACTGTTTTGGAACATGATACCATATTTTACAATGTGGATAAGATTATGTGGGATCAACTATGTTGCTTACAGCAACATATAAAAGAGTACCTGAAGCCTACTGCTGGTAATTCTTCAAATATCTACAAACATCTAGACCAAGAATATGATGGGACTACAGATGTAAGAAACTTTGAAATAATATATATAGTTCCAACAATGAACAAAATGTAAGGTTCAAAGAAACTTTTGCCTTCAAGAAACACAAACCAAAGTTGTGTTCTAATTCATCAGCAGTTGAAATACTTCAAAAAATATAATATCTCTAATTATGTACACTATTCTTAAGCAAGTATTATAGAATTATGTATAAAAATATCATTTTTATTATCCCTATACTAATAAAAGATATGAATATACAAATATTACATGATTTTTTAGTGTATGAACAAAATCTGTAGATCATATGAAAGTTTTTATTTATTTGTAGAATGGAAACATTCAAAAATTAAAAGAAAAACCTCATCTATCCATTTTATACCAGTTTAGACATTTTTCAAATTGTCATTGTTCCTTTTTTTTGTTATTCTCTGAACTTGCAGTTTGTTATGGTGAAAACATTTTGCTAGTTTCTTTGTATTTTAAAATTAGTATGATCTCATAATGCTTTTGCTCTTTAAAATCTGCAAGCCTTTCTTGTTAATACCATTTTCAAGTATATTTCATTAACTGGCTTGAATTTCTCTGATATCTGAAATACAGGCAGTCTTCAAACATTTTATTGTCCATTCATATCAAGCATCATCAGAATTACTTTCCTAATAAATATGTACGTGATATTACAAGTAGTATTAAAACATGACTCTGATTTACAGTTCTATAACTTTTTTGGTTCTAAAGCCAAAAATCTCTTTGTCTGATATACTATTTCTGTAGATGGGAGATTCACACCATAATATTTAAGCATGTTTTTAAATTTAACATTTGACCAGTATAGCACCATAATATCTCTGATTACCCACACCATTCTTAATGAAAGAACAATAAAATTGTTGCCTTTCGAAATCGTATTATTGGCTTTACTCTATGACTGTAACTCATGAAATATTTTTAGCATACTTTCTACAAGTTTAGAAAAGCTAATTAAATCATCTGCATGTTTTGTTGTTGATACTGACCTAACATTCACTGTAGTTATTTTAGCAGATCCTTTAGTATTAATGTAAATGTTGTAGTAATAAAAAACTTTAGTAATCCCAAGGTACTTCATACAGGTAAGTTGGTGCTTTATCTCTATGAACACCAGCTTCAAGTATTTCCTTTCAACTGTTCTACACTTGCATTTTTAATATTGCTATCTAAAAGATTAAATGCTGTATTAAAATCAATAAAAATAAAATGTGCATCACTTTCTTATTTCTCAACTCATCTATGATCATCCAATTTAAAACCAACATATACTGAATATATATATATAGGTCAAAATATATTTTACTTAATTAGAATTTCTATCACTATACCAAATAAAAATTCTCTTTCAAAGACATTGTGTTAATATTTTGAGAAATTTGGCAATAAAGTAACTCAATAATTTGAGTATTTCTTTTTCCTTAAAACCAGTACAACAAGTTTCTAATTTTCTTCCGTAGGGAAACTATTAAGTGATAAACATATTTTTGTTTTACAGTATTGTTATTTCATCATTCAGCTTTGTGAAACTGTCATGATCATAAGAGATTAAACTTGTATATAGATGATAATTCTATAAAAATATTTCATGGCTGTCTAAATGCTCAAAATGTCAACATAAATTTTAGAATATTTATAAAACTGTAATATATTCCTTTTTTTTAATATTTCAACTATTATACTCTTTTCAATCACTAGTACTTTTTTCCAAAAAAGTTATAAATAATTTAAGAATTTTTCAGCCATTCTAGCTATTTGAAATTTCTGTATTTGTCAGTGACTTGTATCATCTCCATTTTAAAATTTTTATCTGATTCATTGATTCATAAAATTATTAATGTCTAATTTATAGTTTTTTGCTTTTTTCACTTCATTATGATAGTGAAGATTTAATTTAGGTCATGAATATATCATTAACAGCAAGACCCAACATATGAAACAATGCACTGTAATCTTTATAAGTAAGAACACTATATATTTAATTAGTTATACTTATTACTGGGTTGATACTTATTTTAGATCCAAATAGGTAGCTTATTTTGATTGAAAGTTAATATTAATTAATATCACTTTGATTTTGTTTCATACTCATCAATAATTTCCCTCAAATTAAGTATTTCTTGTAATCCTTCTGTAGCATTAGTTCAATTTGCCATAAAAATTTAATGAACTTTGATACTATTAAAATTTACGTATATCACTTAATTTAAAGTGACCACTTTCAGATATCACCCATAACACTCTTCTGATTAGATTCTCATTATGATGTACATTTGATTGGTCAATATTTATTGACACATCACACACACTACCTATTATATTTTTAGTTTCAAGAGCGTTTTTATAAACTACAACAGTTTTAACATCAGCTCACAATTATTTTTTTTTGGAATAATCTTTTCTCACAAAAACTAATAAAACAACCATAATAAATCTTATTCTTTGAAGATTTTTTTACAACTAATAAGCTTTAATCATATATTGATGAAAGAGGCAAGTTTTTCATTCATTTAAAATTCCTGTCAATGCACTAATTAAAAATTATATTCCTAAAGAAGTAACAATATACAATATTATCAAGAGATTGCCAGTAATAAAGTTACACTGTGTAATTTCCACCAGAAATTTCCCACTAAGTAGGCCCGGCATGGCCAGGTGGTTAGGGTGCTTGATTAGGGTTCGAATCCCCGTCACACCAAACATGCTCGCTCTTTCAGCCCTGGTGGCATTATAATGTGATGGTCAATCCCACTATTCGTTGGTAAAAGAGTAGCCCAAGAGATGGCGGTGGGTGGTGATGACTAGCTGCCTTCCCTCTAGTCTTACACTGCTAAATTAGGGTGGCTAGCGCAGATAGCCCTCGTGTAGCTTTGTGCGAAATCCATAATAAACATACTAAGTATATTATTCTGCAGCAAAATATATTTACAGACCTAGACAGCCTCCAACACATGTAGCCAAACCATCCGAGTCAATCCTATCAATACAGTTGACATTACAGAATAATAAATATAAGTCAAATCCAGTGAAACAAAGACTTTTCAACTTAGATTCCTAACCACCTGATTAATTTTCTGTGTTGATTAAGAAAACAAATACCTCACTGCACATGTGGAGTTATATGTACACATTTAATGGATGTGTCTAGCAAGTATTGCAAAGCCCGCTCTGCAGATATTTCAGAGATATTGTACAAATAATTTATCCTAGAAAATCACATGGTAGCTCAGAAAGTAATGGTGTTAATGCCATTTAAGCTGATATTTCTAACTTCTACCAACTATTTTCAGTTGTGCAAACCAATGATGTTCTAGGTTTCATATCTATTAACATCAGCCATCCGAACTGTGTAGTAATCAAGTAGCTACCATCTTATATCTTATAGCTATTTTCCAGTGAAACTCTGCTCGATAGCTCAAAAAAGTAGGGTCACAACGACCTTTAGTTCCCATTAATTTTGTATCCAAAACTGTCCTAACTTGGCAACACACTATGTAGTGACACAACAGCTGATGGCTTGAAACGTAAGGAACACCTCCTCCTTTCAGTCGTTGATTTTACAATCAAGTGACTGTCCTATCTACTGTTATGGTAGTTAATCTCAGCCATATTAATCAGGAGGTCATCATTGGAATCTTAGTTGACCACGAATTCGACCTACGTCCATGCATCTTTATCAGCATACATCAAGTTCCATCCACCCCGATGAGACTGAGAACTAGGCTAAACACCAAACCTATTGACAAAGGCAAGCTATTGTACACCCTTAAATTTGTGGTCAAACCCAACTTGTGCTGCATGTCTTTTACAGAGGCAGAGCACCAGCAGCCATGGCTTACTAACGACCCTACTGCATATACTGGGCAGTTTTACAAAATGAGAACTTTTCCCTATCTTGCAAGATATATGGCAGTTCACTTTGAAGTTACCTTCCAGCCCACAACCAAAGCATACACTTTGGTCCTCCCATTCAGTGTGACACCTAGGTAGAGAAATTATTGGGATTGGCAATAGCAAAAGTTCATAAGAGAGTTATGCTCATTCACTGGGGCTGTAACATAACACCAGGATATACTGATGGCGAATTCTGCTTGACAAATGACAAAAGTTTGCTGTAATACTGCTACTTCAGGAAGGTGTTGTGAATGAAGTATAGTCATTGCAGCTGTTAATGTGTGCTTTTTCCTCTCTTGAATCTTGTTCAAAGTTATAGCCTCAACCTGGTCATCAAAGATACTGCCTCTGTTAGAGTGAGAATGTCTCTCACACCAAGATGATACTGCTTTGCCTTGCTTGGCAGCTCCTCAGTAAACTTGTCTACAGTGATATCATTGTGATCTGCAGATTTAATTGCAGGACACAGATCATCTGTATGGGCATCAAAGCTCTCAGTGGGACCTCTCTTTTGAACCTTGAACTCAGCCCAATAGATAGCTTTATTCTCTACCAGATGAAAATGTCAGCACAACTCAGCCATGACTATATCCCAGTCACAAGGTTGCTCCTCCTTCAAGTACTCAGATGAGCCATGAGTTAGACCATTTAGATTCCTAATCAAGTATTGCACTGCTTGCCACGGAGTCCAACTATTCCAAGCAATTATATGCTTGAAATTCTTCAAGATATGGTCCGAGTCTTCTTTAGCCAGCCTTTAAATGTCGATGATGTAAGTTACCTACCCATACAAGAACAGCAATAGCTTTTCTCCAATGAACATTAGCCAACCCCAAGCTGAGACGTCCTTCATATCAAAGGTATGGAATTGAACGTGTTTTCAGATATCTTTACGTTCACATAATGTAAGATCCCTACCCCTGCATCGTATAATGATGAATTTTCGTGTGCAGATTGTCCACTCATTCTGCATTACCCCAGGTTTATCTATGTTCAATAGTCGAACTGATAGCACATTTCCCATCAGAGAGAGGCTCACAACTGCCCATTGGATCAATCGCATTGCCAGGTGGTAGCCACTGCTTCACCTTCTTATAACCTATTACTGATATCTCTTTTGACTGATCTCTTGCGGCTTCAACCGGGATCAGGGTAGGGATACTTTAGTCAGAGAATGCCTGGAAGTTCTGTAAAGACCATCTCATTCTATCTTGGACTCACCAGAGTACATGTCACCATAACGACCCTCAGTCACCTGTTCCTTCTGTGTACTGTCGTTAATTCTCAAGGGAAAGCCTGTTTGGCAATTCTGGGTGTACCAGCTGCCAACAGTTTCCCTTCCTGAATCAGTGGTTGTAACAAGAAGCAGTCATAGACCTTTGCAGAATTGCTGGAATTTCAACACTCGGGAAATCTCTGTAAAATTGAATTGAATATTTCTTGTGTTTGTGTAAATTATCTTTAGTTTGATGAAAAAGAGAATTAAGGTAGTCATGTTTTTCAAAAATTATGAATTTCAATAGATTTATTATTATAATGTTGGGCATTACTGTGGGGTCTATTTAATGTGGCCAGTTGTGATTTAGGAATGGTTTTATTAATGTATAGAGAATGACTGGAGTGGAAATGTAAGTAACTATGTGTATCTGTCAGTTTGTAATGTACAAATGTCACGAGATGGCCACCTTTAGTCACGGAAATATTTATATCAAGAAATGAGATGGTTTGGAGTGAAACCGAAACGTGTATCGGAGTGATGGGTGAAAGGATTTAAGAAACTGAAGAATTGAGTTCATCACTAATGCATGTAGCTATGCCAAAAACATAATCGGTATGCTTACAATGTAAGATTTAGCGGGCATCTATATAATTACAAAGCTGCAACCTTCCACATAACCAACAAGGAGGCGAGCATAAAAGATACCTATTTTGGTTTTTATGTTAATAAAATTTGTCGCCAGAAGACGGGCATATAACGATAGAATTATAGTTTAGCTAATCTGGTCAGAGTTTCAAAAGATGGATCTGGGGAGGTTCCTTTTGTCAAGGTATTGTTGTGGGCTTTCAGTCCGTCTTTATATAAAATGGAAATATAAAGCGATTTTGTGTCAATTGAACAAAATTATAAAATATTGTTGCGTCAGCGAGTCACATGACACTGTGACGCAACGTTTCTAGAACTATCATGTACTTTGGCGAATGTTCAAGTTCTTACTAGAAATAGGGTACGCTGGTATATAAAAGAAGGTGAT